CACAACATTGAACCGGGGGCGAGGGGAATTGTCGTTTGTTGAAATTCAAAGGTATTGCACAGAATTTAATTAAATTGCGTCTACATGTAGCTAAATGTTGCCTGGTTGTTTTGCGGACATTAAAATTTTTGGATAGACATAAAAGTTGTTGTATTTCACTGCTCTTGGAGTCTCGAATAACATACTCGCATTACCATTCAGGAAGTTTCAGGTATACTATTAAAGTATTGAAAACGGCTAAAGTTTCACCTCTCTAACTTTGCTGAGGTTCACAACAAAGTATGTTAACATATCGCCTTCTTGCTAACAAATTTTTCCCGCAGTATTGACATCAGCGGCGTAGCCAGCTCGGACAATTTTGGGGAGGGGGGGGGGTGTCCATATTCATATATTCGTGTTAACAGACCATAAAAACAATTGATTTCAAAATAAATTAATTATGCAGAACACGAATATATGAATATGGACCCCCCAATTATCGAGCTGGCTACGCCGCTGAGTATTGTACAGAATTTAATTAATTAAATTGCGTCCGCATGTAGCTAAATGTCGCCCGGTTGTTTTGCTGACATTAAGATATATGTACGAGCTTCAAAGCGAAATCGCTTGCTTCAAATTATTTTAGTAGTCTGTTTTGTCTCATATTGTAGTTCAACCCCCTTGAAATCAATTTTTACTCTTAATACGTCATGGAAAAGATATGGCACAGAAAAGGTTTCGTCAAAATAACAAAAATGTTTGCAAATTCAGCAGATAGAAAAATTATCAGGGTTTACTGTACTATATTGTGCGAATTAGTATTTTGTGTTCTGACGAGATCGTATATTCATAAGCTTCCATATAGTTGCAAAGGTCAGGTATAAAGGTACATAAAATGCTTTTCATAGTGCATGTGTTTGCAGCGCGCGACTAATTACAGAATAGTGTGACGTGCGAGCTTATATATAAAATGATATTCTGTTAATTCTTCACTTATTTTATGGTGTCTATGATTTTTTGCTCAAAATGGCAAAAATAATTTAAATTTCAGCGCTTCAAAAACATAATTATTTTAATAGTCATGTAATTTAATAACTATTTTGATAGAAATTAAAATTTCTAACTAGTAATATGAAGTATATATATAATGTTAATTTTTTCATTGTTTCGGCTTCAATTAATTTAATGTAAAAATAAACACGATAAGCTTGGTGAACATTTTTTAATTGCTTTTTGCCATATGTTGGAATTAGAGAGAGATCCACTCATGAACAACCGCGCGCGCGCGATTATCGATCAACTTTAGGCTTCGATAATGCATGACGAGCCAGACAGCTCCAGATTGGCAGCTCCAGATTGGCGAATCTGAAGCCAGCTCCAGATACACTAGTTTGGAAACAAACTGCTTTGGCCGCTTAACCACCGATTGAAATTGAATTTCTTCCAAACACCATTTTTTCTTGTCATATTCCTTAGTACGTGATGGAAAATGAATACATTATTCCGTTCCGTTCGTCCATGCTAGCCTGTGAATAATCACTGTTTTTTCTAGCTGACGAGAGGTCATCTGTTATTGTCCATTTTGGAACGAGTAGTAAACTAAGGAGATTTTCGACTGTGTTTAGTTATAAAATTACAAAAATCATAACAAATAATCTATAATGGCACAAAGAAACTGATTCGAACCAAGCGCGTAAAGTACTTAAAACAATGTCGAAGTAGATGCTTTCAAATTTTAGGACGATTCAAAGGAGATTTCTTTCATGACACCTCAGCAGACACTTGCATTCAAGAGCGCCTTCAAACTCCAATAAGTAATATTTCAAATCCGAGTTAGTGTTTTAGATGTGGTTTCTAAATACAAGTGCCATGAACAATGGCGAGGCGTAGCCGAGCCATTGTTTATGGCACTGGAGATTTGGAAGCCAAGTTTAAAATTGCTTCTCACACACATTCGATATTCATAGCAATGAGGCAGTAACAATAGCAAATTAAGTTGTTCAATGAGGCGAATGCGTAACGAAGGAACGAATTAAAGGCGTTGTTGTTGTAATATTTGTTCGCCTTCGAAGGAAGCATGCATTGCATCTAGTTGCAAAAAGAGGAGATTTCGAGATCCTCGAAGCGTGGAAAGAAGCATTGACAACGTCCGAAATGCTATTCCACAAACAACGCGGGGAGTTCGTATATTTGAAGATTGGCAAAGTGGGCGAGAAAATAAAGCAGTCATGTGTGACAGTGTGAAAGCAATTCTTTCAGCTTAGATTTGCAGAATTTGCAAAATTTGGAGACAGAATTGTGTTCAATGACGGCAAGTACGTTAAACTTCTGGCTTATCAAATTTGTTCAAGAAGTTTGCGACAAGGATGGCAAGCCAGATTCCGGGCGTACAGTATACCAAATTATTATATGGCTTTTCAAAATTCTCTATTCTGATTGGTTGACAAGCGGTCCGTAAAACGCATATCCGGACCGTGGTCCGTATTTTCCGTATCTGGAAATTTTTACTTTGCAAACAGAAAAAATTTTGCTTTTCGAATTGTGTGTCATTAAAATTTACATATAAAAATTCCAAACAACCGAATTGTTTTTGATTGAGCATGCATGCCTACCGTATATTGTTACCCAGTGAAACTGACGATAGCCGATTTAATTTGCGCTAAAGGCATATGCTCACAGACTCAGTTCAGCCGTATAATAAACTGATCATTGACCTCGCTTGTTCGGTATATATACTGTGAAATATCAGACCTCTTTTTTTGCATGGACCTCGCTCCTTCGTCGCTCGATCCATACTAAAAAGCCGCGGTCTGATATTTCACAGTACAGACCTCACGCTCGGTGAATAAGCCGTTATTATATGCTCGTTGAAACGACATCTAGACGAAAATGGCCGGGCTGAAGCTAACATCTTTTAAAATGCTAACAATCACTGGTAGGTTGAATTTGTTCATTTTTAATTAATGGTTTAGTTTAATTAATTGTAATGTGAGCATGTTTATTACTCAGTTTCCAGACATTCAGAAGAGTGCTGGATAGTGATATGAAAGCCACCCACCGGGAAGGCGAATCGCTTGCGGAGAAGCGTACAAGACGAGAGAAAGAAGCTATTACAGATGATGAAGGGGGTTTGCTGTGATCAAAAGGCTTGCTAGGAGACAAATCTGCTCACAGTTTGGTTTACGCAATTTATTTCTATATCGGAAAAATATTCGGGTTAATTAAGAGCATGTGAACACAGACAGTTAAGATTAAGCATCTTTGTCATAGAAAACAAGAAAATTTGTTATCGAAAAAATATTTCGAAAACTTTTCATGGAGGATTTAAAGAAGAAACCTAGAATGGTGACTCATTATTGTCACGAGGATGAGGAAAGTGTGCATGAACCATGCCTGGTTCAAATGTTTAAGCAGTACGTATACATTTCCTTTGTCAGCGAGTTACCGAAAAGTAATGAATCATTCTATTTTCCGGACTGAGCAAAACAGCGTATAAATTCGAAAATGCACCAATTTGTATTCATAAGCTTAGTTCTATTGTGCCTTTCTTAATGAAGGAAGCTGGCCTTGAGATTAAGACAGCACACAGCCTTCGTGTCACAACAGCAACAAATTTGTTTCGTGCTGGCCATCAAGAAAAATTAATACGTGCACGAACTGGGCATGTTTCATCTGCCTTATTTACGTATGAGAAACCTAGTAATGATCAAGCAATGGCTGTATCCAAGTGTATTGGCCCATCTGTATCAAAGGTTGTGTCGCTTGTTGACAACTGTTTAAGCCACCCTCGAAGCCTGAGGAAGACGAAACGTTTCAAATTTCCGACGAGGAACTTGATAAGCTTTTGAGTGAAGTGGACTGGTCTAAAATTGATAAAGAGGTGCAGCGACGTACTATCGCCGAAAAGTTTGTTTTGTCGAACAGTATATTCACTAACTGTTCCTTTAACATTTCGTTTGCCGGAAATAAGTAATGCTAAGTCAATTGTATGTGTGTTGCTGTTAGTGTGATTAAAAAAGCAACATATTTTGTTGTTTGAAGTGATTTAATGTTTTTGTGTATTTAAAAGTTATTTATAAATACAGCTTACTGTATTTAGAAATAATTCTAAACATAGCAATTAAATATATTTGCATAATCTTTTGTTTACCCCTCAATTTCCCCATTGTCCAAAGCCCATCCCACTTGAAGTAAATAAAGTCCTGGTCTAGACGGGGTATTCAGATAGATAGACGTGATGTAATAAGGCCCGTAAGACGGCGTACTCTTCATGTGCCGAACTTAATTGTATTAGATGCGACACAAGAACGGCAGTGATTCAAACGGCGTACCAAATACTATGTTATTGACAGGGTTGGGGCGCATTCGCCAGCGAAACATCAATAAAATTCAAAATAAATAAGTTTATTTTTAGACTAAAGTTGAATTAAGTTTGGCACATGAGTGGAGCGGCGTATGAATCAATGTCGCTACAACGTCCCATAATGCGACAAGCTCTGCCGATTTGCCGAACTTGTGTCGAACTTTTGCCGCTCCAAATCTTGCCGTACTTAATTGATTCGTACGTCGCTCTTCTGCCGTACCTAATTCATCAATTAAGTTCGGCGCATGAGAAGTACGCCGTCTGAAACGGGCCTAAATTACACCATGTCATTGGCCGAAATGCTATGAATGTCTAATGATGTGTGAGAAGTCAAGAATCATCAGCACTGTTTAGCCCTTCAGGATTTTCTCAACAATTAGAACTAGAAGAAATACGTGACGAAGAAGGACTAAATGCTGGCAGTAATACAAGAGAGAAGTTGCATATTTTTCTAGCTTCCTGAGATGTTAGCCCAATCCGCACATCCATGACCATCCCGTGGGACACAGCAGCAGAGCGCAGAAAACGACGTTATGTGAGGAAAGGAAAATAGGTCGCTTTAGCCGCCCTTGACAAAGTTGCTACCCAAAACGCAGAAATTCTGTTTAGCGCAATACAGGTGGAAAGATAAAAGAGTGCTGATGACATGGATTCTTCTTTACTTGAAGCTATGGTGGAGTGCTACGAAAACTGCAGCCACTGGAGCAGCCGTAGACAAATCCTGCCTATCATAGCTGATAAAGTTAGGTTTGTAACACTGCAGATCTAGCTCGGTATCGCTACAACCTCCCAAGACATCATGTTTTCCTCCATGAGCTTGATCACTTCTGACGTTTATAACAAGTGCCAAAATTATCCAAGATTTGCCCTTTGGAGAAAAAACACTGAAAGTGTCATCTGGATCTGAAATCAAAATACCGAATGTCATAAGAACGTCCATCCCTGAACAGATAATCATACAGTATCAGAGTTATTGGGCAGAAACTGGATTTAGTACACCTTTCAGCCATAGCAGTCTATCGAGGATACTTAACGTCTGCGCGGCATTCTCTTCAGGGTTTGGACTATCATTCGGCGGAAGGAGCAAAAGCTTTTGACTACCTGGTTGAAGTAGCTGACAAACTTGGAGACAACTACGAAAACTGCTTATCATGGTCTAAAGAGGTGATGAGCAAGCTTAAACTGGCAAAACGTTATTTTAAAGAAGATTACAAGCTTAGTTGGAATTTTATTGTTAATATTTAACAATTATTCGCCGAAGGTGAAGTGATTACCGGTAAATATTCACCGTAATGACTGAGCCTGAGGCGAATAATTGTTTTAGTATAAATTTTTGATAAATAAAACAAAATATCCAAGTTATCCAACTATTAGTTTAATTAAAATTCAGAAATAAAACTGTTTCAGTCGACCGGTTTGCGGTTACTGTTTTAGTGAAATAGTATCGTACGAATTGAGATATTTATAGGATACAAAACAAAATTGTTTTAATTAAAAAGAACATCACGGCTCGGCGGCTTTTCCCAACGGCATCGGGATAGTTTTTGCTATTTGTTTGAAGTGAATGTTTTGGGGTTTTAAATAAGTTTTAAATTGTCCGTGAATATGTTTGACACAGTAAAATGATAAAGAAAACCTACCTTTCAAGTTAAATATAACATATTGTGCTTTTTTTCGTTTTCTGGGACGATTTTTTCAATATTTTGTCGATTTGAAGCCAAATTTGCCGAATCATTCTTTTTGAAAAGCATTATTTACTAGTCTGCTAGTAAATAATGCGTCAGATTTACTGGTCAACTAGACAATCAGAACGCGCGAAAGCTCATTTGATATGCAAAATTTATACTAATTATGCATATTTACTAATCAAGTATGGTACTGCTAGCATTTATGCCGAGCGTATATGAGAGTGCATGTATATTTCATTTAAGTGTTGTAAATCTATCCATTACATCAATATTTTATAGCTAGGTTTATGTATCATCGAGCTCAAGAGTACCTGACCACTGCAGACACTATGTTTCGAGCCAGGTAATGACAAAGCCCATTTAAGCACGTGCGATTACCAGTATGACCTAACTTGTATTACGCGCGGGAAATACATACCTCCTTCGGAAAAAGGGTAAGTATTTCCCGTTTGTAATACAAAATGACTGAAAATTGCAAACTTCGCAAGGCTATATTATCCGCATTTTACAACATTTCGCAACGAAACTTCGGAATATTACTAATTTTGTGATGCTCTTTCAAGCAGTGTGATAAAATTTTTGTCTCGACTTGTTGAAATCTAAATTTTAGTCAAAAGGTGAAAGGTCCATTAGCCTGCATTATTCACTCATAGTTCTTGATCAATGTGTGAAATTATAATCTTAATTATACAACTACTTTAGGTAATAGGTAAACATCAAGATTTTTTTGCCATGTCACTCGAATGAGTAATAGTTGAAGAATCTACAAAGATGGAAATATCGAGCGAGATCGATGCCAACAAAATCTTGATATTTTCCCATTCCTAATTTTAAGAATTTTTTATCACAGCACATTTTTGTGCAAAGTTTACCAGAACAGAAGCACGCCCTGAAAACTTTTGAACCACCTGCATTCTAGAAGTCTACAAATGTAACACGCACTGGGCTAAGTACAAAGAAACTCAGAATAAAATCAATACAGAAGTGTACAGTAAAAGCCAAATAAAAACTTTTTCTTTGAAATAATCAAAGATTGTGCCAAAACCCTATAAACAAAGCTGGAAGTTAATTTTAATGAACTCTAAACAAAATAATAGAGCAATATTTCCAAACTGACATATAAAAATTGACGATACTCTTATATCTGACGATATAAAGAGTCCTTTAATGCCTATCTCGTGAGTATTGGGGCAAAAATAGCCTCTGAAATAGCCTCTGAAATTGTCAGAACATTTCTAGGTCAGATTTTCAATTTACGTTTTCCGAACTAACGTACATGAAATATTTCTTCGGTTACATAAACTTAAATCATTGATAATATTCCGAGCAAGGGCACTTACAGCCTAAATAATTAGTCCATCGTTAACGTGGATATTTAGCCTCTCGGTTAAACTAGAATTTATGTAGAAGAATGGAAAAAGGCATGGGTATTGCCGATTTTTAAATCTGAGGTCATGCAAAAATGTAAAAATTAGCGGCCAATTTCAATTTTACCAATTGGTAGTGAAATCTTTGAGCGTTATGTTTTCAAGCAATTGTATGAAAATTACCGCCCAAAGAACTCGACCACGACTGCAGTTATTCAAATATGTGATGCAAGTATGCGTACGCAGGTATGGATAACGGCGACTTCCACGGTGTGGGTTTTTTATTCGGAAAGCCTTTGATTCAATTAACTATAATATCTTGTTACGTAAAATGAAAGATCAATTAGGAGTTTCAAATATTGAATTAAAGTGGTTTGAATCCTACATTTCTGATAGGGAACAAGCGTGTTTTGTCAATGGCACGACGACAACACCCAAAAAGATACTGTGTGGAGTCCATCAGGGATCTATCTTACGGCCATTATTGTTTTTACTTTACATTAAGAGGCAATTTTTTTCAATATCACGTATTTGCAATGAAAAGTGTTCAAAACCTAAATTTTTGTGGCGTTCCTCTCAAAGCTTACAGAGTTAGCTACCTTTTTGAATGCATCTGCCGGTTGAGAAACATAAAGTAATAGTTAAGAATTGTCAATTAAAATACAATTATCAATGATGCTTTAAAATACGCCATATTTATAGCCATATAAGCAAAACTTACTGAATTTCAAACATCATTTTCTCTTTGGCGTATCATCTCATCCTCGTCACCAGGCCCAAGCTCGGGCGGCCCTCACAGTGGCCCTGGTTCAGGCTGTTGATCTGCGTCGGAATTCCGACGCAGAGGCTTGGTCGCACAGCATATGCCTTTCTCCCTAAAAACATGGCGACCGCAATGAATGCAACTGTACGAGGAAGGCAGAAGCAATATATTTTGCACTTGCAAAAACAAATAATACTCAAATTAAGTTAAAGAATGAGCAGAAAGAAGATATTCGTCAAATAGTAAATGGAAGGGATGTTAAATCGTTGATATACCAACTTTTACCGTCCATCATCCATGTTCGACTACATTAATTCGAGAAAAAGAAATATTTCTGCCGTGTTGCCAGAAACAATTGTAATCGTGATTTCGCCATTAAATGCACTGGTGGGCGACCAAATAGACAAGTTAAAAACTGACATGGGTGTTAAGGCAGTTGTTTTACGCCATGATGATCATGATCAAGAAATGAAAGGTGGGTACTATTAAAAATACTTCATTTTGCTATTTTTGTATATAATACATAATATGTATAGACGGTAAATAGACCCCTTGCCTAAAAACCAACTGGTTGGAAAATTTATTGAAAATATAATTAGCATTAAGCAATCACAATTAAGTGTACTTGCCATGTTAGGGTCTTGGGGAAATGTTTCCCTTATTTTTCTGTTATCAGCAGCTGTATCAAAATGTATGCATTATTAAATAAATTTATTTGTCTTTTTATAGCTTACAGTATGTATCAACAAAGTATGGATGTAAGGCCTCAGAGGTTCGCCAACACATGAGGACAAAAACAACACTGTAAAGTGTTGCAAAGTGCAGAAAGGCAAACAAGAACAATAGTCAAAAACAGAAACACCAGGCTAGTTATTAAAAATATTATTGCCAAGCAAATAATTTGCAAAAGGGGCATATTCAAAAAACATTTAGTATATAAAAATATTTATTGAGTAATGTTACAAGTGACTTGTTGCTTGTTTTTAACTAAAGTAGTCAATAACTTATTTGAGGACTATGTTTTGCTCAAGGCAAATTTTAACCCATTGAGCCACAATGCACCCAGGGCCGTATGCAGGATTTTTTCACCAGAGGGGCAGTAAGGCCTATATGCCGAAAAAAGTCCCAAATATCCAAAGAATAATTAACAATGACATTCTAAAAATCGTAAATATAGTTTTCTCTGGGGGGGCAGTTGCCCCCACCCCCCGGTTGTGTACGTCCCTGAGTGTGCCCAACTTATTTTTTTTACTTGTCTAACACCAGACGGTTTAACTCGTCAATGGAGATAACCCACAAAGCTCTGCAGCTTAATGGGTTGATAAAAAAACTGCCAATGACTGTAGTTAACCCGCAATGTGCCCTAGTGCGCCCTTTTTATTTTTTACTTGTCTAGCGCCAGAAGATTTTACTCGTCAGTGGGGAAGCTCTGCAGCTTAATGGGTTAATGTAATTAACTTTACATGTCAATTATGGTCATTACCTATGGTTTAATAACAAAGGTCAATAAATATGGTGCTTGTGTATATATAATTAATTGCAATGGTTTTCTTTAGGTTATGTTTTTGTTTTGACTTGTTATTAAACCATATGTGAAAACTATAATTGATCTGTAATGTTTAGTATAACCAATTTCTCGTATAAATATTTATATTAATTTGTAATATATGTATTTTTTAATATTTATATATATATATATATATTTTTGCATTAAAAAATTAAGAGTGATGAACAACATTGTGTGTCATTTACTATTCTTATAGGAAATTAGGATAAATTTCGTGTAGGAATTCCTATAAGATGATATGTCATACTGCAAAACCTGAACAGTCAAAGTGATGTACTTTCCAGAAGGGTGTATTTATTAATAAAATGTTTCAGTGACAGTGTTAAATTAAACAAACTTTTATAGCAACAGGTAGCTAAAATGCTTCTTATGGTGAAATAAGCTTAGACTTGACACATAACTGGTTAAATTACTTAAATATAATCATGAATTGTTACTGATTGTATTCTAGTTTGGATAAATTTATTCAATAGTTTGGATAAATAATTTAATTCCATCTACAAAATCCCTTCAACATTTTGTGTGTGAAAAGCCAGCTTTTCACCTTGGGTATTAAACAGTCGAGCTTGGGGTTCTCAAACAACACTGGTTCCATTGTGAACTGTGCATTGTGATTGTGCAAACAGAACAGAATGCTTCCATTAACTTTGTGTATCAAGTACTTGATAAATACTAAATTTTCGTAGATTACATTCTAAATTAGACTCTTCAAATTGTCAAGTACAATGTATAAAAATGCTTCCATTAACTTTGTGTATCAAGTACTTGATA